TTCCACGCATGCGCAGAACGCATACAGCGCCTGCGCGATCCTCCAGGAGCAGCTGGAGCATCGCGCAGACGCTGGTACGCACGCGCCGCGTGCGTGCACGAGGACGCCGCCGGCCTCGTTCCAACCGAACCGGTTGGAACGGGGCGAGAAACCCACCCCTGCTGGGTGGCTACTCTTCCAGTTTCCGGTGTTCCCGTGTGCATGGCCGTCGTGCCATAACCGGGCGACGGCTTGCATGCGCGGAGAGATGGTGCTGCGTGAAACTTCCGGCACGTAGGTTCGCCACCACGGGTATACAGCTTCCTGCCTGAACAGAGGATTGGACTAGAAGACCTCCAAGGTCCCTTCCAACTCTGTTATTCTGTTAAAATAACCTTTGCTACCCGTAAAAAGCACTTTGCCGACAGAATCTGCAATGAAATGAAACACTAAATCAACTCACCGTCTACCAGGCGATAAGAGAAGAACTGCTCTGAAAAGGCTCAGGGCTAGAAAGCATTCAGATCTGATCTTCAAACCAAGAGGTCTTGTGTGTGACAGCTAGTGATAATCTAGAATTGGGGTGTCCAACCTTGACAAAATTTAAGGCTCGTGAACATCAACTCCCAACACAGCTGGCTAAGGGATTGTGGGAACTGAAAACCACAGGTCTTCAACGCTGCCAAAGTTGGACACCACACAGAGTTCCTGGTTTGGAGAAGATTGACTATCCCAAAAGATTGAATGCTGTCATAAAATCAAAAGGTACTCTGGCAGAGGATTAGTTTATAGGTGTGCATCTTTAGGCAGCCACATTATTCTAATTTTAATTGTTATTTTTCCCCCTTAAAATTTTCAGCTGAATTGTACAGCTTACGTGGTATATATAGTAAAGGTCAAAAAAAAAAACTGCAGTGATTTCTCTTCACCTAATTTTTTTTACACCTTAAAAACCTGGTTTTTTAAACAGCAAAGTGTAGACTTTCTATAGCCTATCTACCTATCTACCTGTCTGTCTGTCTGTCTATCTATCTATCTGTCTATCTGCATCTGTCTATGTCTATCTACCTACTGGTACCTACCTATCAGTACTAGTACCTACCTACCTACTTACCGATATCTATCTATCTCTATCTATCTATCTATCTATCTATCTATCTATCTATCTATCTATCTATCTATCTACCTACCTACCTATCTATCTTCCTATCTATCTACCCACCTACCTACCTACCTCACTATCTATCTATCTATCTATTTATCTATCTATCTATCTATCTATCTATCTATCTATCTATCTATCTATCTATCT